GAAACCGCTTTACTATCTTGTGGTAGAAGCCACGCCACATCCCGCAGATGTCACTTTTACTTGCGAGTTCTTCGGTTGATTGACATATACAATAATAATAAATAATAAAAGTGGTTTTAGCGTTTATTAGGCCGTAGGCCTGTCGCCGATTCTTAACATCGTAGAACATTCACAGCATTTTGCGGTCTCAAACTCGCAACTCACTGCTACAATTCTGCTGTGCTTAACCGCCCGGCCTCCTTGCCGACTCTGGCGCACAGAGCTGGGATCGAACCCGCGCCTCTCTGTGTCAATCTTGGTACTATGAACAGTAACAACTGGACCATTCTGCCGTGTTAGGCTACCCTGGGCCCGTGGTCGTGTTGGACATTCTCACACAACTATTTTTCAACGTTACGGTGGTCGTAAACCTAGCTGAACATCTAGTAACGACCTGCATATATTAAAACCACAACAGATATTAACGTGAAGAGCAACATGCATATGATCTCTATTGAGAACATGGCCAGTTGTTTCAGGTACTCGTTATAGTGATCGCCATGCTGCCGTGATGCTCGAACTAATATGATCCCGAATTTATCTCAATGGCATACAAATGTCACCAATAACACGAATGCATTGTCTGTTGTAATTACCTAGTGAAGCATTGACAGCCCTAAAGCATGCTAGTAAGATATCGGTATATATCCAACAAGAGGAACGAAATTAACTGTGATGTGCACAGTTAAACCGTATGAAAGTTTTGAAGTTTTTTTTGAAGAATGCAAAAGAATAAACTGCTAGTTATCAGAATGTTATATAACCTCTGATAGTGAGATGAGGGCAGAATAAACTTAAATATGGACGACTTAGACGTCATTTGTAATAGAAAGGAGGCAACGTTGGTATTATTTTTGAATTATTTTACAAAAAATTATAAACATTAAAAAACATAGTGATCTCGGCGCTGTCTTTTTATCTTAGGTCTTTTTTTAAGTCTCTATTGGTCTTTTTATCATAGCTAAATCCACTCTATCTACTCATTAGCCATTCAACATTGACGGTCTAAAACCATTATAAGCTGAAGTGTTCTTTTCTCAATGCAACGATCTTAATACTCATTCGATGTGCGTTTACGAAAAAAACGGGCCATAGGCGCCATTCGCGTCAACTTCCGAGAGCGCGGACATATCGACTAACGAGAGGCACTGGATTCCTACTCCTGTCCTGAGCAAAAGCGGCTTTCGATGAAGAAGCTCCAGGCTGGCGAGGCTGCCCCCTTAGGCTCGACCTTCAGTTAACTTCACAATCTCATTTATGGCACAATTTAGGGCATGGTTTTGATGAGTAATTTGTGATGAAATCGTAATTTGTTTGAGTAAACACTTGCTAGATACCTGGCAGGCTGGCTGTAGCCAGTAGCAGTACCTAGCTTCCAATTTTGTATCATCTTTCGGGTTTCGAATAATCGTAATGGGTATCTATATTCTATGTAACATTGTGTGTTAGTACAATATACATACTACATAGTATTATTATATACTATACTATACTTATACTTGTATATTGTTACATAATGCATATATATGCAATATTTTTTCTGTTTCCTCTTTGTAAATTTGTAATCTTTTCTGTTAGACTGTTATGTTGTTTCTTTTTTCTTGTTTTTTATGTATCAGAATTTTGGAAGTGCAAAGCAGTAGCCCAGTTGGCACCAATTAAACCTGTTTAGGCTGTTAGGCAAAGGCTTTCATTTTTTCTCACTATTCCACTTGCCTTCGCCACATAGGGCAAGTTCAATGAATGACTTTTCTTCACTTTAGGCATCTTAGGAAAGATCCACAGGCAGCTATAGCGGTCACGACGTCGGGTTTTAGAGGCGCACTGATAAACACACTACTTCTCTCACGACCGCTGTCGATGCACTGAGCTTACGGTACCGGCTTGCTTCTGTTGGCTGGTGTACGAGAACCAGACGACGTAGAGAGACAAGTTTAGTCTCGTTAGAAGCGTAATTTTCTAAGCTTTAAAATGAGTGTAAAAACCCAAAAAGTGAAAATTTTCGATTTTTCGGGAGACGCTCCCCTTAAGAGCTATTAAGCTTTTAATTAAGAAAATTTTAATTTTAATTTATGCACACAGCTTGGAATGAGCTGTGTGTGTCTAATTCCAAGCTGTGTCAGAATTAGTTTTTATGTGTCTAAAACTGTCTCATAACTCAAACATCTATTAATTTTTTTACCACTTGGAATCAGCAAATACAAGTATACTTGAAGGATTCCTAATATATTCACAGACATATTTAAAAGTCTCAAACCATAAATTTCTTTGATTCTTTCTACACAAACAGTTTATCACTATTTGGTAGAGCAAGGTCAAGTATCAACTTTGACACATTTTTCAATGTTCTTACGGGGTGATGCGCACTGTCTCTCTTTGGATCTCAACATTTTCCCGCCAGATGGCCCAGACCTAGTGTTTTGGCTATAGTATAGTGCGCAAAAGTATGACGTCACTATTTCAACCATCAACAAATGCATGGAACTCAGAAAAAGCTTAATCTAAAGGAAGAAAGTCAAGAAGTGTCGGAATTACCCACAATGTCGGAATATACCGCGTTTACCCTAGCTGGTACTTGGTAGCACACAATCCTGTCTCTTTCACTTTGTCAATGCCTCAACATTTTGATGCTGTTCTGAGAAATTGGATGCATCAGTGTTAACTTTTTATGTTTAAACATGCAAGTTACCTACTTCATACACAGTGATTATGAGTGATACACTGTGACTACAGACTAAAAGGTTTATACTTTATAGTTGGCTTTTATTTAAGCAAAAAGCAATAATAACAACATTAAAGTTACGCCTAACATGGCAAGCCATAGTCATAGTGTCAAAGCAGAGACTTTCTTAGACTCTTTTTCAAGTTTGTTTTTGAGTCCTATAAGTGGTAGTAGACCATTAAATGATCATGGATGTCATACATCAGTGATAATCATGCATGATAATAAGTGATATTCATATTCATATACAAGTGATAATCATATCATACATAGATATCTTACATAAGTGATAAGATATTGGTTTAAATCTTGATTAGTTGAGGAAATTAAAAATTAAATTATTTTAAAAATCTGTGGTTTGACACCATGCGGCATGCTGACCATGACATGGTCATGGGTCATGTATCAAGGGTATAACTGCCATGGTCAGGAAGATGTGCCATGGGCGATGAAATTTATATTGTTATTTTATCAATCTGCACCATGCCCTGTAATATGCCAGTAAAAAAATGCTCCGTGCACCTTGCTCCAAAAGTTCTTTGAAGATTAATGTGGGGCAATGCCATCACACACAAAAGTATATCTGCATAGAGTTGACTAGATCGCTAACATGTCTCCCTGAGTACCGGTCAGTGAAATAGACATGATTAATGCTTAATAACAATACACATAAAAAGACTATACAAATTAAGTTGATACAGCATTATTACAGAGTGTGATTAAACTAAGTGATATAAAATATGCAAGAAGAAATAGATTTCTTAAGGCAAGAGTCTTTTTAGCAGCTTGGCAGTGTAGTGTACCGGCAGCATTCATACCATGTACTTGGCAGCATTCATACCATGAAACACTTTATTAACAAAAAATTTAAAAGCAAAGAATAGTCCACAAAAATTCATAGCTTATAGAAAACGTTTAGGAGTCCAGCCCTATCGTCAGTTCGTAGAATCTAGAATTTACATAGAAAGTCACAAATTAGTAGGTACAATTAAAAGCATAGAACACAACTAAAAACCTGAATTTACAAGTAATAGGGCACAAAAAATCTATTCACAATTTCAAGGGGATAGGAGCTAACAGCTGAATTTAGACTGGGCCTAAGTTTAAAATGTACAATGATTCTAAAGTATGCAAATCTGAAGTACTGTAGGTGGACGCTAACACCCTAAAGTCACTGTCAAAAACAGGGACATCACACTGCTCGGTGTGAGTGTGCACAGCCAAATGAGAGGGGTGCGATAGCAACAGTCCGGTCCAACAACTCCTGCCCTTATGCTCAGCAACCCTGGAATAAAGATTGCGTGACGTCATCCTGACTTACGCAGATGCACATCGTGCACAACAATATTGATAAACCAGTGACAATCGCATATGAACAGGGAGCATATCTTTATATCTAAAGAAAGAACCGATTTTGAAACTGTTTACCTGAACAATATGAAGTTTTACATTTGGAAAGTGTCTATCAAACAAGACTTTTAATTCGCTTCACAAAGCTTCAAACGCAGGGCCAAAGTATGGAAAAGAACAATAAATAATGTTCCTACTACCGCGCTCAGAAGCAACCTCACTAAATTGCTTTGACATGAATTTCTTGATTTGGTTATACACCAAACTTGCTGGAAATCCATTAAGCAAGAAAATATTTTGTAAAATTATTATACAGAGGTTTTCACATTTGTTCAACATACCATGCTATGCACACGGAATTTGAATTTTTCTGAAATATTTTCTTGCTGGAATTATTAAAAGTTGAAAAATGGCACAAGGAAATTCATCATTTTATTTGATCACCAAAATCACCACACCAAAATATTATCAAGCATTTGTGGTTGATATTAGAGATGCAAGTCAGAAGTTGATTACCACCACCATACCTAGCCTTTAAAAGAGCTGGAGAGAGTTTTAACTGAATAATGGGTTGAAGTTCTTTTGGAAACAATTCACAATTTGTATGATTCAAATTCACCAATTCACCTTGGGAAATTGAGGCTGTAATTGCTCAAAAATATGGACCTACATTATACTAATATATTTATATATATTTTATTTCTTGGGTCTTTCCCTTATTTTGCCTAACCCCTATTCACATTACATACTATGCATAATAGTTATGTCTTGGTCAAATTTTGTCTGTCATATTTACTAAATAAATTATAAGTTATGATCCTTTCAAATTTCCGACTTCAGTGTACAAATCAAAATAGAAGCTATAATTCAATCATCCTTCTGTGTTTTACCAGATCTTTTGTTTCTGCAACTAAAAAATAGATGTGTAGGATATATATGTATTCAATTCTGGATCTCCTTCAGTAGATGTGTTTATTACAGTATTCAGTAAATCTGCATTTTATTGTGTTAGCCATCTTATTTATTGCAGGTTGGGGTTAAGTCAGTTTTGGTGTAAAAACAATGGCCGATGAAACAGGCCTTGATGCCTTTTGTGGTTCTGATTTCTGGGTAAGTTCAATTTTGTTAAATGTTTTATTTTTTATATCAAGTACAGTATGCAACTTTTCATTTTTTATTCAAGCATGCCACAAGTTCCATTAACTTGCTGTATTTATTTTCAATTTGTCTCATTTATAGTATTGATTTGTTATAAATACTTTCTGCATTAGTTATCTACTTTCAGGATTTGCTCTACATTTATTATTGAAAAGGTTTGCCTTTTTGTTTCATCTCCTAATAAATTCTATGAATTTTGAATAAAAATTTGAAATGATGAAAATTCTATCCAAAAGTTAATCCATTATTAAAAATTATTCTTTTTTGAAATATGCATGGTTCCAATCCTTTTTTTTAATGGTTGAAATTTTGAGTGGCAGCACATGAATATTTTTTTACCATTATCATTTCGTCCTTAATTATTGTTAACTATCTTTCTTTATTGAAACTAAAATTTGTTTTACATTTATTGTATTAGTTTTGCTCATCCTTCTGCTAATTTATTTTTCCAACCATTTCAAATCATTTGTCCACCATTAGTACCATAAAATGGGGTGATTTGGACCAGTTTAGAATTTTGTAAGCACCTCATTATTAAACCAGCTAAGTTTGACTCAAGTTGAGGCATGCATATGTAAGGTCTATGGTATATCTATACACACCAGTATGTGCAGGTTTCTCCTTCTGTTGTTATTCATGTAGTTGTAGGAGAGGTGGGTGGTTCAAGTCACCCCACCTTGGGGGATGACTTGGACCACCCATAATTAAAATATGGGACATAGTTAAAAATATGGGACATACCGGTACCACAGTTAAAAATATGGGACTTACCATAGTTTAAAATATGGGTAGGCAGACTGTCTATTATCTCCTCTGCCTGCCTTGAATGGTATTCTCTCAGAGTTTGCTCCCCCATAACTGCTATTGATTTTTTATTATCATTTGCTAGTCTTTTACATAAATTGCTATGCCGCTTGATGAAGGCAGAAGCCCAATCGGACCCTGGAAAGTTCATTGAAAGCTTAAAGATAATTTGTCCTTACTCATCCAGGTAGCTTCTGTCAATAATCCTCAGCTCCATAGGCTGAAGTGGGTAGCCATAATCACAAGACAGTACAAGTCTTCTGACAACAATGCTCTCCTCCTGTGCACTCAGAACAGTTTATCCCAGGATTCATAACATAATTTTAGTGCACTCTTTTGAACAAAACAGACTTGCCAATGCTATACTGTTTGGCAGCTTTGGCTATAGGTACTTATTTCTTGTCTCTTATTGACTCTACAACTTTTAACTACTTCATCCCCCTTATTGTTCCCGAAGGTGTGGGAGCCCATTTGTTGCTTGTTGATCATTGGTTATTATAGGTAGGCAAGTAGTACCTATGTAGCCAGTTAATTCACTGGTTAATAGGCACAATATATACTGGTTAATAGGCACTCGTATATACAAACAGTACGTAAATGTCAAAACACTCCAAGTCACCCCGTTAGTTTTGTTTCCTGTATATAGGTACCGGTACTTTGCCTAGCAAATGACCTTGCACACTCAATGTTGAGCTCTGCATTGTTGGGGACCAATAGGTTTGAATGAACTGTTTATGGTAACTAAAGTCTTCTGATTAAACATCTTCTGATTCAATAGTGAAGAATCTTTAACACAAAACTCTTGTCTAACCAGGACCTACAACTGACATGGAACACAACGGACCCTCACTTCACTCCGTGCTTTGAGGAGACGGTGCTGGTGTGGTTGCCATGTGGCTTCCTGTGGCTCTTTGCAGCTCTTGAGTTGTACATCATCAAGTCCAGCAGGGACAAGCTCATTCCCTGGACCTTTCTTAATATCTCTAAGCTGGTGAGATATATATTGTTTCATTAAAATATTCCATTACTGTTATTTTTCCACATATTATACAGTCTATTTGAGCATTAAATCTCTATTGATGTTTTTAACCTGCCAGCTGAATGATATATATTATCTTGAGTATGTCTTTTTGTATTCTATACCGCAGTTCATCATGTGCTTAAATTTGATGCTGAACTAAATGGGCCTACAAGTGCAAAAATTTGTGGATGTTCAGATTTATGGTGTAGGTATAGAACAAGAAGAAAAATCATGTTCATGTTTGCAGTGTATAAATGAAACAGTTATAGCAAAAATAATTAATTATTAAATATATTGAAATTTATTGTAGTTGGTGGGCTTTCATCAGTTTCACTTTAGGGCTGCCCAGACAAGATCTCTAATATATTTATAAATTTCATTGAAATGTTCCAATTGTAAAGTTATTTTGTCTTGTAAAGTTAAAGGGTCTCAATTGAAGTATTTGAAAGTTGGAAATTTTGCATTTCAGCCATAGAACATTTTTGTTAGTTTTTTTACCTACAAGTTTTTGCATTCTAAAATAATATAGTAATTTTATTGGTAGGTATGTTTGGTCATCAGACACCACTTGAGTTTGAGTTTGATCCATTGACATGAATTTAGTTCTTCTGTTGTAACCTGAATATTATGATCATTCTGATTTTCATATTCATCTAAAGAAATAATCCGTGATTTGGTTTTTTTGCACCAAATGATATTATTTAATGATAATACCTACTTCAATTATATTATTGATATCAATTATAGGTATCCTTCAATGATATCATTTCGCTCATATTTATCTAGAGAAATAATCCCTGATTTAATTTTCTTGCACCAAATCAATATCAAACTCACGTACGTAGCCTACAATGTTCACAAAATGACCTCAATTGATAATATTTGTCATTGAAATGATATTTGTTATTTGTTATCGGCAGGTTTGTTCAGCAGTGCTGCTGGTGCTGGAACTGTCAGATCTCATCTACCAAATAGTGCAGGGCAGCGACTCATCTACCAATGTCTACCCTAACTACTACCTTGTTCCCATCATTCTCTTCATGTCCATTGTGAGTGCTTTGTTCAGCATAGGATTTTTGTGTTGCATCATTTTCTCAATAGACAAATGACTAGTCAGCAGCATAAACGTATTGCATGTCTTATCAGTTTTAACCATCAAACAGGTTAAAGTTGTTATGTTGATATTTTGTTCAGATTGTTGTTGATGATGTTCCTTTCTTTGATGTATGAAGATTAAATAAAGTAGAAAACTGTCGTTTATTATCATTTTATATGTATTTTTACTGATAGAAGTTGTATATTGCAGCTCCCGTTAAGATGCTTGATGATGTTCCTTTCTTTTATGTATTAAGATTTAATAAAGTAGAAAACCATATTTAAATATGATTTTGTCTGTATCTTTACTGATAAAAGTCGTTTCTTTTATGTAGGAAGATTTAATAAAGTAGAAAACATCATCAAATATCATTTTGCATGTATCTTCACTGATAAAAGTTGTATATTGCAGCTGCTGCAAGCCATCTTCGTAATATTCGAGAAGAAGAACGGCGTGCAGAGCTCAGGGTACCTGTTCTTGTTCTGGCTCCTGATGGCGGTGTGCGGCGTGTTCCAGTACAGGAGCTTCTTCCTGCGTTATGCCAACGATGTGCGTAGCTAAGTGTTATGTACATGCTGATAAGTGTTATGTACATGCTGATGAGTGTTATGTACATGCTGATAAGTGTTATGTACATGCTGATAAGTGTTATGTACATGCTGATAAGTGTTATGTACATGCTGAT